GTTAACAGAGAATACATAAAAAACATATTATTTTCAGCAAAATCATCATTACCACAACATGGAAAATGTTGGCATGCTGCGCTCCGAACATTGGAGAGCAATTGTGATAAATTGAATGATCACGAACATTCGCTTCTTGCCCTTCAACTAACAAATTGCTTCTTAGAGGATTCTGGTCATGTATCCTACAATTGCCATTTCAGTGAAGCAGAAGACGAGCGTCGGTAAAACGAGTATTTTTTGTTACTTATATTTTATGCCTAATTTTGTAATAACTCGCTATTATTTATTTCACAGGAAATGCATTGGCGACATGACAGACCGAGCCTTTAGTGTTTACAATGAATTCTACACTCACGCAACTCATATCTGTTTCTTTTTGAATCATGAAGTTTGGCAAACTGAAGTTGAAAATACCATAAAGTTGTAAGTGCATATATAATACTCTAATATTTTTGCATATATAAAATATAAAAAACTCACATATTTCTACATATTTAAATTATATTTAATCATTCTATATATTTAGATTGTTTCAAATATCTTCCCGAATGAAGGATCAATTGTTAGAAGCATCGGAAATGCAAGGTATAATTTTGAACAGTCAAAAGGAGGGTTTACGTATTCAAAACAAACTTTTAGATCATGGCAAGGAACTCGGAACTGTACTAAAGACTTCGTCTGATACAGTCAGCAATATGGTGTCGGATTTCAAGTGAGTTTGTAAAGATGATTTTTGTAACGTTTAAAAATTTAGTCAAATGTAAATTACTATAAACTGTTGATTTGAAATTCTTTATTAAATTTCAGAGAATCGGCTAAAGATCAGAAGGAGCTACTTTATGAGATCTTCTCATATATACGTACTTTCCAAAGCTGGATTATTGGAGAAGTGTCTTGGTTTCAATCTATTATATTTTATACTGTCAGCTGCATTCTCTGTGCGTTATTCAGTTCTTCTAGAAGAACGGTTGATGCAAGAGTGGCGCTCTTTAGTATCCTAAGTTTGAATATAGTGATTGAAAGAATACTTGTTCAATATTATGATAAGATTATTCTTCAATCTCCAGATGATAAGGTAATATTATAATAAAGTTAAAACAATTGTTTCTCATAATACTATTCCATTTTCTCTTATAGGCGCACCTGCTAAGTACAACATGGTTGTGCAGAAAAATTGCCTTAATATTTTGTGCTATAACATTATTCTGTACATATTACTATTATAAAGATGGACAATTAGAGAATTATAAGGCTTTACAAAGAATCGAGCAACAGTTGAATATCATACAGAAAATTCCAATTATTTCCAACATTGACCAACCAATTCGTATGTATTTTATGTATAATTTTATATGGATGCATGGATCAAACTTTTGTATAATAAATTGTATCAAATTTAGGTTACTCGAAACGGCTTGCGCTAAAACGTTCGCATACAGTTTCTGATAAACAGGATATCGCTGATGTTAAAAATGGAAAATAATTATTTTAAATTTAAAAAAATCGTCATATATATATGTACATATTTTAATAAGATAATTGTATAAATGGAAATAAAGATATCTATAGAGAGCTTCATAAATATTTACAGAAACGTTTTTATATATTTAAGTGTCAAGTATAATAATCTAAATGGTTTTACAATGTATTATATGTTAATGCATTGAAGTAGCATTACAGAAAGAAAAACACTATACTGTAGGATATCTTCGTAGAAGATGTGTAATCTGCTTATGAGTCAAGTTCTTACTGTTAGGTACAGGCATAATTTGATCGTTTAAAGAATGTATACGTTCCATAGTACTTGAGTAAACTTGATAGCATTGGTTTAATGCTTTTAATTCTGGGCTACATCTTTTGTCTTCAAACTCATTTTCTTCGAGACATGTTAAAAGCAAGGACATTTCTAATAAACATCCCTTTTCTGAAAATAGAAATATATTCAAATTATTAATTTTATAAAATTATATACATACGTATATATAAGAAATACAATTTTCTTGAACATTAATTTATTTTGTCAATTGTAATAAATATTGATACGTTCTGTGCAGAATGAAATTTACGGTCTATAAAATTAATTTTAAGGAATCAAAATAAATATATTAAAAAGAATGAACATAGTAAGGTTTACTTTCACAATATTATTACTTAAAAATTACAGGTTATCAAGTAATTTGTGAATGAAAGTAATTTCACTGATAAATTTCTTGGTAATCTTTAACTATGTACTATGAAGACAGACTTAAATATATTTTAATAAGAATAATTCACAGTTGTAGATGGAACAAAATTAATTTATATTCTCTAAATTATTTTATATTCTTGACAGAGATTTATAAATAAGTGGAGCAAATAGAGATCCATCCTCTATTCCAAAGGAATATAATTAAATGGGACCAATAAACTCCATCAGTTCCGGAAAGTTAAATATACCTTTTAATCTCTGATTCTTTCCGCTCACAGAACTCTTCAACTTTAACGGCAAAATCTCCTTAAAAGTCACCTTATTTTCATTCTGTGGCTGTCTCGCATTACGAAATAATATCGATGTTAATCTCATCTCTCTGTAATATAATATAAATATTTATCATATGATATACTACAAACATAAATATACAGTAAAATAATATAGAATTATATAAATTTCTTTAAGAAAGTGAGGTTAAGTTTTTCATTAGATCTATATTAGTATTTGAACGTATGATTTTTTTAAATATCGACATATAAACACAGTTAATATACAGTCAAAATACAATTCTAATAATCGTTAACAACTTTTGCTAGACGTACATTAATTTTTCTTGCAAAAACGTTTGCCAAAGTTAGCCGTAACAGCAATCACGTTCGACTTTCAGAAAATGCAGCCTTAAGCGACCAGATGGCGACAGCGTTTACTTTCAATTTCAATTGTGTTCCCTCGTGTTCTACTTGATCGTGTTTTCTTTTCGCATTCGCAATTTAAAACGGTAAAGTGCCGTAGAATACGCCACATGAAATTATTGCTATATCAGAATATATAAACGCGAAGTCCAATTTCTTAAGATCAAAACAAATAAAAAATCAATTAGGTAAAGGTATCAATAAGTAAAATGCATGAAAATTACGTAAAAAATAGATTCTGTATACTTAAAAGAGGAAGTTCGTGTTTCTCTGTCTCTTTTCCTCTCGTGCTAAAAGTAATCAAAATTGTTTAATAATCGCGCTCCGTTTTTCGCGCTGAAGATGAAAAAATTGCGAGACTAGTTTCTGGGGGACGACGGGAGATTGTGGGAATACTGGAAATGGAGAGGAACAAGAAAATAAGAAATCGTACGATGCTTAACCTCAAACTGCCTCAAAGCGCGTGACTGTATCGTTTTGGTGGCAAGGCCACACGTATTGTTGCGGAACGGACTCGCATATTCGGCTGTGCCCAAAGGAAACCGGTGAAGGGGGAATTTCGTCGAGCAGCGTAGCGTCAAGGTTCAAGGATCGAGAATGGCGGAGCACCAGAGAAGTGAGTCTATTAGACCGAAAATGACGGATGCTTTTTGTGCACGCGGTGCATCTTAAGATATTTCGCGAAGATATAATGGCGCGTTCTCAAGAATAGCGCAAAAAGGCTCACCAAGGTTCACCGATAAAATTAAATTGCAAAAGAAGACAAGAGAGGGACAGACCGTGTTTTCGAGATTACGCGCCCGACGTGGCGACGTCGTTATGAGAAAACTCGTCGATAATGCATCATACGATGTAATTTTTTTTCGTCACGCGATCGCGAGCGATTGCCGCGTCGTGATAAATTCTTCGCACGCGATAATGACCGAATGACGAATATCGTATGTCTTATCGTGAAATATATAATGTGTGCCGTACAGTTTTGATAAATTTTTACGCGATTTAATCCGCAGATGAAATTTCAGATGTTTTAATTCAGATCTTTGGATCTTTTTGAAGGTTGCATGACATAGCGTGATTTTATCGACACACGTACATATCATTTCTTGAGATAATCGACGCAAAATATTTTCTGTTAATTTAAAGTATATATTTTGAAATAATATTTATATTTTTGAAATTTAAAAAAATGGAATTTTAAATGATTGTTATACATAATAAAAATATTATATAATTAATTTATGTTTATTTATTTATATTTTTTAATTATTTTAAAAAAAATTTTTATATACATATACACGCATAAATTTAAAATTTAAAATTTATATGAATATAATAAAATATATATGAATGTATACCTATACAGTACAGAAAAATTGCAAATTGATCGCATATATATCTCATTGCAATATTGTAATATTGCAAATATTGTAGATTTCGCAATGATTTGCAACATTATTGCAATGTCATAGCATCTTAAATGTCCGTCTTCAACAAGATTGTGCTGTAATATCGTAACAATTGCAGCGCAATGTATTTGCAACTATTATTAAAAATAGTTCTTTTATT